TCTTAGCCATGACTCATGTGTCATATATCTTAGCCATGACTCATGTGTCATATAGCTTAGCCCTGACTCATGTGTCATATATCTTAGCCATGACTCATGTGTCATATATCTTAGCCCTGACTCATGTGTCATATGTCTTAGCCATGACTCATGTGTCATATGTCTTAGCCCTTACTCATGTGTCATATATCTTAGCCCTGACTCATGTGTCATATATCTTAGCCATGACTCATGCGTCATATATCTTAGCCCTGACTCATGTGTCATATGTCTTAGCCCTGACTCATGTGTCATATGTCTTAGCCATGACTCATGTGTCATATATCTTAGCTATGACTCATGTGTCATATGTCTTAACCCTTACTCATGTGTCATATGTCTTGGCCATGACTCATGTGTCAAATATCTTAGCCATGACTCATGTGTCATATGTCTTAGCCCTTACTCATGTGTCATATGTCTTAGCCATGACCCATGTGTCATATATCCTAGCCATGACTCATGTGTCATATATCTTAGCTATGACTCATGTGACATATGTCTTAACCCTTACTCATGTGTCATATGTCTTAGCCATGACCCATGTGTCATATATCTTATCCATGACTCATGTGTCATATATCTTAGCCATGGCACATGTGTCATATATCTTAGCCATGACTCATGGGTCATATATCTTAGCCATGACTCATGAGTCATATATCTAAGCCATGACTCATGTGTCATATATCTTAGCCCTGACTCATGTGTCATATATCTTAGCCATGACTCATGTGTCATATGTCTTAGCCATGACTCATGTGTCATATATCTTAGCCATGGCTCATGTGTCAAATATCTTAGCCATGACTCATGTGTCATATGTGTTAGCCCTTACTCATGTGTCATATGTCTTAGCCATGACCCATGTGTCATATATCTTAGCCATGACTCATGTGTCATATATCTTAGCCATGACTCATGTGTCATATATCTTAGCCATGACTCATGTGTCATATATCTTAACCATGACTCATGTGTCATATATCTTAACCATGACTCATATGTCATATATCTTAGCCATGACTCTAAGCTTTAACTTAAAATGTTTCCTAGGTTTGGCTAATAATGGTGAAGGCACATTATAGTTGGATCACTTTTTCATAGTCATGGTAATTGCAATATTGAAGTTTGACTTAAAAGGCAGTAAAAATACCCCTATAGACCAAGGTGATCTCGTCTAATAGAATGCTTTTGTTTGAATTAAGAGCGATAAGCAGTCAAAAAGTGTCACAGTTGAAAGGATGTCTTAATAATTCATAGTTGCAAATTATGAACAAATGAGATTTTCAAATAAAATCGTTTTTACTGTATCTTCGCGTTAATATTTTGGGACCATATAATGCCGAAACGCCGCCTGTGATATGCGTGTCATTTAATACCGACACGTCCCCTACGATGTGTGTGACGTATGACTTCGACACGTTTTCAGCGATGTGTATGACGTATAATGCGATGTGTGTAACACATTACATTATTCACACGTCCCCTGTGACGCGTGTGACATTTTAGGAGGGACGTTAATGTTTACACTATGTCGACCTATAGCTTCTAGAGTGTCGCTACACTGTCAAAGTTGAACGCTTTTTCATTAACGTTGCTGATCAGATTTCCAAGTTTGACCCAATTCCATTCCCTCAATTTCCGACGGGATTGTCAGTGGTATAGACAAACAAGATCAGGAAGGTCAAGGACAAGTAAACGCCTTACACGGGCTAGCTGACATAGCCACAATGGTTGTAGAAGCAATAACACAGTTGTAATTGCAAAAAAAAAATAAAAAAAAATGTATACGATATAAAATGCTGCAATCTTTTTCTTTTAAAAAACCCATAACAATGCTTAGATAGATATTTATATGCAAAACATCAAGACGCAAGGGCAACATACCGTCGATGCACAACGAAACCCGGATGTGAAATCACGTGGTCTTGAAGGGTAAGTGTTTCCTGTGTTATATAAGGTACAATTTATGGTGTGTTCTGTAAAATAATTGTTAACATTGTTAACTGGAGAATCAACGATAAAAACACTACTCTTGGTCAGGGCTTTTGTAACTATGCATACTTGTTTGTTCTTTATTATTCTTTTCCAGAAGTGCTTTGTGTGGAGTGATAGTTGAGTGTAATGCAATATTTCTTTGCATGCTTACCTAATATCTGCAATTCTATGTACCTTATTTTTAATCCTAAGGACTGTTTTTTCCCTTGCGTGCTTATCTGATGTCGGGATAGTACGTAAATTATATTTAAACCTAAGGACTGTTTAATTCCCTATGCGTAATTACCTGATGTAGGGATCCTACGTAACCTGTTTTGGGTCCTAAGGACTATTTAGTTCCCTTGCGTGCTTACCTGATGTCGGAAATCTTGCGAACCTTCCTGTCTCCATTTGCATCTTTGACATCTTGCCCTCCCATTGCAACTCTCTCCAGGAAGGAATCCGGCCGCTGTGGTAACGTCCGAGACCGCCATCGTCCTGATGCCCATGATTTTATCACCTGGAATATAGGGAAAATATGTAGACAGAAACAAAAATTAAATTTTAAAGAAATTGTTAACCATCTAGTTGCTTGTTATTGATTCAGCTACAGGAAATTTTCTTCGGTCGATAGCACCAATACTCTGAGGTATCGGGTTCATCTCATGCCATGGTAGAGGCATCATTGAGAGATAGCATCAAATAGAATGGCGCCCACGCGGGGATTTGTAGAAATCTTCTTGTTTTACAAGCATTGTCTTATTCCGGAATATTTAAGGACATGGTTTTACATAGACTGATAGTATATTACGTGCACGGCTAGATTACATTGTGTCCGTTCAGATCAACAGGTACATCATTGGGCCTGTTTGTACTGTTGCAAGTATGGAATCAATGCTATGAATGTCATGGTGTACATCATGATGTAGTTAGGATGACTTCATAATTGAAGCGGCCTTCGTGTACCTTATTCTATTTCTACCATTGCTACATATTCCACCATACAACAAACGAATATGATGATTATTTTTCAAGCATTCGACTGTAGCAAAAGTGATGTGTTACAATGCTAAAGTGTTTGGCGCTTTCGACAAAAAAATAATACCCATATTTCCTTTGACAAAGTAAGTCATAAGTTATTGTTGGGTACGTGCTCATGGTCTTAGGGGTAACAATAAAGCTGGCTCGCCAGTTACCCTGGCACCAGATTGTCAACTGTGAAATAATTCTATATTTCTTTTTTTTCAAACAGCTTAGTCGCTCAAAGCGCCACAGGGATTTGATATGTAGAGACTTCGTCCATTTCCTGTGACTCGCCATGCATCAAATACAAAAAAAAAAAGCGTAATGTATTCAGATTCATTACATCTTTACCAGTGGACTATTAGGAAGTAACTCTCAGAGAAAAAACATATCTTCATTGCCGTAAATATATATAAGACACATGAGAAGTAATCACCTTTTGTATTGTCAAATCAGAAGCTTACTTTTTATTTACTGCGTAGATTTGTAATTTCAAGTTCATAAGAAGAGACTGGAGATTAAGTGGTTTTTGTTGGTGCACTTTTGTACATTTTTGGTGCCCAGTGGCAATTATCGAGTAGCAATAGTGTAACATGTGAGGATATTGAGCGTGGACAAACTGTTATGCAAGATATTTACAAGCATATTCGAAGAATAAATGAAAGTTTACACTGTCCGTTCATGATGGGTTTGGACAGTAAGTTGGCATCCGCCGTTAGGTGATTTTCATGAACAGATTTGGTGTCCAACAGCTTAGCTGGTGTTTTTTTTTCATGTAACAATGCATTTAGTAAAATTGTGTTAGACAGCTAGTTCACAATCTCAGACATTTGAATAGATTCTCCCAATAGTACATTGTAACACATCCATAGGTCGAAAACTCAGGTCCACTCCAGTTGTAATGAAAGTATAATGACCATAAACACATTGCAACAGACATCGGGACTTAACAGCAGTAGTGATAAATGTATCTATTTTCTTTACTAACTGAGATTATTTTTGACTTTGTATTTATTTTATATATTAAAATGTCAACCAAAAGACATCGTATATAGCATTATTAGGTTGTTTCCTCGTTGTTGTATCGTTATGTGCTCTTCTTTCAAGCCACACTCAACACTATTATTTTGTATTTTGAAATATGTTGACTATTAGCTTGGGCGAGAGTCATAGCCATAGAGCATATCAGGGTTTGTCAATAAAATCCACTGTCTGCCCTATCGATCTCTGCCATGTTGTCTGGAATAATCTATGACAAATGGCCCCTAGGGCCGGGACAAATTAGCTTGGTCGGACGCAAATCAGAAAGAAATGTTGACAGTGAATGTACAGTGATCCCAGGTATAATTGGGAGTCGTCTGAAGAGTCTTGACCCCACTATAGTGGTTCGGAGAACATGGATACAGGCTAATGACCATAGGTATTGATGTAGTTAGGGTATAATACAATGTATGTATTTCTACAATGCACAGCGGAAACACATACGGTCTTAACCTCTGGAACATCTAGCACATATACGATCCTGCCGAGTTAATTGCTCTACATACATGCAGAGTGTAGGTACTTCTAACGGGACGTTTGATTATACATGTATATATTAATACAACTGCACTTCATACATAAATACATTTCTGCAAAATACATTAAACATTTTAATTTATAAAATTATTAACTTACAAACGTTTTAAATCATTATAAAATGGGTAATAAAACAATGCAAACTCCGTAACAAAAATATTGACGTTGTAATAAAACTATACAGAAAAAACAATAGTTTGGTTTGATAGGTGTTTCACGTCCTATGAACAGCTATGGACATTTAAGGACTTGCCAGGGTTTAGTGGTGGAGAAAAGCCGTAGCTCCCGGAGAAACACCACCTATTGGTGGAGGGCCAGTAGTAGCAGAATGTCAGACGCCTTAACCAGTTGGCCACTGCAGTCCCCAAAACAATAGTAACTAAACAGTAAAACTTGTGAAACTTTGCAAAATATAATGTACAGATGATATAACGTATAACTAGACGGTACATCCTTTGTAAAAATACTGTATGGACTTTAAAACACAGTTTATATCTTATAACCAAACAGTGTTAATGCTAAACTAAATTACTGCAAGAGGAAGTTACATTAAGCATCTGTTGATTTGACAAAATTTACCAAAAATTCAGAATTGGAAGGTCTTTGACTTCCTCACTGGAATCTCACGAGCTCCAGTGTTTGTACCAGTATTATCAAATAACAGAAACCCATATTATAAACAACGCCAAATGCTACCATTGTGATGATAACCGATCTTTCCATGGCACAAACCTTTCAATCTTCATTCCGAACAAAATTATTTGATCAGAAATACACGACAAGATAATTTCTGAATATCGCGTTATTTTTTAACAAATTTTTAATATGCGTGTAAGCATGCACCATGATTACGGGATAATGTGAGCATTTATATACATAAATAATATGAATTAGCTGTTATCTGTGGTGAACTAACATGAACAAATGTTGTGTTGAATATTTTATCAGACCAGTCGGTGAACATTTTCGTGTTAACGTTTGTTTAAAATTTAAAAGTAATTGACGTATTACTAGCTTTATCAGAAACTGGTACCATTACCGGAAAACTAATGGGCATGGAGTAAGATGACAAATTACACCATCGACACAGGAAACGCACTTACTGCCGCCATGCTAGCGTCATTTCCGGTGTAAATTCCAGTTAGCGTTTCTATGATTTTTTTCCTTACCACCATAACATGATCGCTTATAAATTTATATTTGTACCGACTATCTGACTAAACACAAGCTGAGTTTCATTTACATACGATTCTTTAGGATCTCACTTCAGTGAATGCCATCCAAATCGGATTAGTGCTAACGAGTAGAACATTATCTAAATCGGTTCCTGAACCAAAATACTAATTTGTGGGATTATTTAGACAAAACGAATGAAAGAAAACTCAGCCAGTTTTGATATGCAAAATTTTGAATTTGTTCCAATATTTTTCCGTTTGCCGTCACGGTCGCCAATATTAGATATGTAACACATCGCAACAGATGCGATGCTTTTGTTATACAACATGAAACCTTGCATACATGATAAAGTAGAATGAAGAGCACACACAGGCATTCTATTAGACGAAAGATTGTATGAAATGAATTTCTCGGAGTGAGCTGATGAAATTCTAGGAAGACAACCAGTGGCTTGGAACATATGTTACATAAACATGCAAACATGTTATGAATTACAATCTAATCGTGGGCATTGCAAAAAAGACTTTCTCCTCATACGAGTATGCATGTCCTTGAAAGCCTTAATTGTTTTACTTGCAGTAACTGTAACTATCAAAGTTTGTTAAATCAACGCAATATGCCATTCAGTGACCAAACCTCTGGTGAGTCATGTCACCGGAGAAAAACCCGAAATCCAATGATGACCTTTTCCCAATGCGCTTGAGCGAGGCTCTCCCAATGACAAGTCCTCAATTACTAAGTCATTCTCGAAGGACGCCAGTCGTGAGCGTGCTGATGCTCGATGCGATACTGGTTCGTTCTGACAATCTATGCAATCCCTCATGCATCATGCTCGGTAATTGTAATTTGTAAATTGTAGCATGGAAACAATTGTTTGCTACGTTTGGAATTCCATCAGCATGAAACGGAACAAGATCCCAACAGCTGTATGGAATTAAATTAAAACTGTCTTTACGGAAATTACCTGGTGTTAAACTGCTCGCTTGTCAAACTATCGTACTGCCGCAGACAAGCAAAATGTAATTGGGTTAAACACAAATAGTGGTAATTCCTAAAATAGGATTTGTAAAAATGTTTTATAAGAACAGAAAGGGGTACCAGATATAGCGATAAGCTGCATATTTAGGCTGGAATCGGATTACCGCACATTATATATAGGAGGTACACTTTATCCGTACATCAAAACTCAGAGTCAGTGCACATAGATAAATGGTATGTTTCCTGCACGTACCACAGGCGTCGGGCTTGACATCATGACAGTCATGATGAAGACCATTGTCACCTTCATCGTATAATTAAGTTTATCTGGATGAAAATTCTAGCTATGTAACTCATTTATCAGCAGAACTATTTGGTTTATTGCAGGCCCTTAAGTATCGCATCAACGCTGACATATAACCATATGAATAGGCCCAAGGGAGGTATGTGTGATATAATGAAATAAAGGGAAGTTGAGGATCGTGAAATTAAAGATGCCATATTTATTAAAGAATTGATTGGAAAATGTGCGTCGTATACCTTTTTCAGACTGCAAATAATATTAAAAACACGTCATCATTAAAATTGATTTTATTCAGATATCTCTTTACGAAATTCATTTTGTTTCATGGGGACGTTTCCTAAATAATACGATTTATCACTTACAGCCAGACGACATCGTCTTCATTCTTACAGACATCAGAACGACAAAGCTGTTGCCATTCACATTTGATCATTGTGAATGACCAACAGTATGACAAAATT